TATCCATAGAGGTGCTACAATATGTTATTAGATCAGCATTTAATTATTTTTTGTCTATAGTTATATCTATTCAATGATGTAACAAAAGTTTGACGGGTGGGGGTGGGGGAATGGACACTAATAGACAGTAACATGCTTTGCCTTGGCTAAACTAAGCTGGTAGACAAATTAGCATGTGTTTAAACAAACGTAAGTCCTAAACAAGCATATGGTAAACTAATTAAAAGGGATATTTTGGTGTTGAAAATACACCAATTTAATACAGCTTTTGTTTCTGTGTGTGATTATTATTTCTAATATCGATTCTAGAGTTTACACAGATTACATACACATTTTATGTTGTTGATCAGTAGCATTGTAACCGGTGTTACCCGATGAGCACTGTTCAGACACGTGTACGACCTAGACGCCATTTTCAGTTATCAGTTATGAAAGAGTTCTAATCATAATTAAAAATGAAATGGGGTTCAGGGCCTAAAATAACGTGCCTTGGAGCACGAACGTGCCTCGAAATGAAAAATCCGTGCTTCGAAAATAAGAAAACCGTGCTCTGAAAAATGGTGTAGTGCTCTAAAAAAATGTAGTCAGTGATGCCTCCTGACCCCTAATTGGGTGTTTCTATGCCGGTTTCAAGCTCTCAATTTTCAAAATTTTATTGGGGAGGCCCCACAGACCCCCCGCCGGCGCGCTTCGTGACTGCGGCGCTCGCAGGCGGTTGGCTTCGCCCAACGCGGCTTCGTGGACTCTAAATCCGTGCTCTGAGAATTTAACCTTATTTTAGGCCCGGATGGGGTTTAACATCCGACTGGGCTAATGAAGCCAGTCTATTCATAAAATAAAAAAAGATTTTTCTATAACCCAAAATACCTCTAAAAAGTATTCAACAAAATCAGTTCACACTATAAAGCTTAGGGTCTAAGCTCTAAGATACAATATGATATGAAATAATTAAGAAAACAAATCCCAATATCTGAAAATCCTATTATATTTATGCTGGAAAATCTAAGTAAGGTTTTGCTCAGCAGTATGACGCACCAACATACGAGTTTTGCATCCAGGATTGTATCAACCAATTGATTCTTGGACTGCAAAATCTCTTATACTCAAAGAATCCGTCATTTTGGACGAAGATGTATATCGCAGTAAGCTTATTGTAAAATTAGCCTCCATCCACAAGAAAATCTGACCATGACTGGTCTATACAATCACTGATTACGAGATTCTATCACAACCTGCACCAATGATATGGATTGCTCCTCGAAACAAACTAGAATCTTGTACAATAACACCTTTTGGGGAATGCCGCACGTAACCAAAACTCCCGAATGAATGAACCAGGGGTCGATTACCGTGAAGACAGTGTAGGTAGCTGCCTACGGTCCAAGCAAACAATCTCCCCCCAAACAAAGATTTGACAACCTTTTAGGAGTTAATTGGGTTAATTATTTGTGGTGGCATGCTTCACGAACCTGGGGTAGAAGGCACTCGCTATCGCGCTCTAGACCTATAGAGTCGTCTGTCAACCCCAGGACGGACAACTAGTTACTCGCTGGCATTCCTTCATTATCAAAAAGATTTTTGACGATATTCTCCTCGAAAGAGGCCTTTCTTTCCTGATGTAAAGGCCGTATCTTGTATTTGTATAAGGGTTGTATCATGGAATGCTTATACTGATTCACAAATTTGAATCAAAGAACTTATGACTGCTGATAATCCCAAACTAATTAACTGTCCTTAGTTCTGATAAACTGTCCAATTCTACACAACTCTGTAACTCTAACAATATTATTAGTAAACAGACAACTGTCACAATATCTTTGATGTTTCCTGGATAATCGGGGAATCGCCATTTTGAACAATCGTGAAATCGAAATTATGAACGATTATACAAAGGCCAGATAACGTCATTTGAACAGGAGTTTAATACCATTGTAATCAGTTCTATTGTTTCTGGCTAAAATAAGAACCACATTACATGTAATGTATTTTTGTTTTAATGCGATCGATCGTTAAATATTTAATTGAGAATATTAAATGGCGAAAATTAATACATATTGATGTGCCAACAACCTTTGATTAATTTTGGATATCAATATTTAATTGGCATATTGATATCTCGTTATTATAATTGGGTAATGGAGAGTAGACAGTCATGTAGTTGCATGGATACATACACGGCATCAAGAAACAGGTATTCTAGATAGGTATCAAGACACGTGTGTTCTAGAAAGGTATCAAGACAAATGTGTACTAGAAAGGTATCAAGACACATATGTTCTAGAACGGTATCAAGACACATGTGTTCTCAATTTTCTAATCGCTCTACAGGTAAGAGATTTTGAGATTTTCATTTCATACTTGCTGGTATTGTTTTACTAGTCACCTGCATTGTATCCGAATCCTGTCACGTCTTCATTAGCCCGGTTGGTTAAATACAGTTGGACGTTAAAATTCGTTTCGAAAACCTATTATTCACGCTTTATCTTTATTGTGACCCTCATGTTTTGAATTTATTCTGTCAAATTTGATGACATACATGTGTATACCTTTATACTGCTGTCGGTGTGCGTTAAGAAAGTGGTTTACGTCTGATTCATTTGAATTCGCTGGTGTGCTGGTGTATCGTTACCTGGCAATCTTTCCTTTATTATGTGCAGGGGTGGGGGATGGCCGAATGGTTAGCGTGTGCGCACTGCATCATAAGTTCTGCCATTGAGTCAACTGGCGTGGTTTCGATACCCCGGTTGTACGTGACAAGGAGTAGGGCTCCTTGTCCAATCTAGTGGGTTTTCTCCGTGTCCTCAGGTTACCTCCAACTATAAAAAAACCCGCGCGCAAGCGAATTATTGAAATAAAATTGGACCATATGTTAGTCCCGAAATTACCTAGTTTGCGTCGATTGCACGTTTAACCCCATTTCCTCTCCCCCTCCCTCCCTCCTTCTCTCTCACTCTCCGTCTCTCTCTCTCTCTTACTATGTGCTTAATTACATAACAGATAATACACAACGAATACATGTACATTGGAAATTACTTTATTCTGAGCCCAGTTACTACTGCTTGTAGTTTTGACAAGATGTGTGCATTGATTGTTTATTATCGTACCCACGGTACTGGTATATCCGAGATTTAGCCTCCCTTTTCCACTTTTTTAAAATTAAATCATAGAATGGCTGACCCGGTCTAATTTACTTAAATTCGGAGCCATCCCATGGCCTAGAAAGTTGATTATGGTCTTGTCATGTTAATAAATATCTAATTAATAACTTATATAGCATTAAATGCCTAAAGAAAGACTTGCTATAGACAAATGTAGTTCTTTCATATCATAATGTATGTTTAGGTCTAACGTCTATCTGCACTAACCATTTCTGTGGCCTTATATATAGAGCAACAACTTGTGGGCGTTCCGTGAGTAACGTTAAAACGCAGATACCCTACTGAGGGCCTTTGTGTGTGGTAATGCGTGTGTGTGTGTGTAGGAAATTAAAATTATATGAATTTCGTATCAGTACAGACATCTTAATACATATACCTAATTCATCTTTTCGTTTCATGGTGAAATACAATCTTGATATATTTGTATATATCGTCTCAGTGTGGGAGTATCAGTAACAACAGCATGGCAATACAGATCTAATTGGAATAAGATGACCTTGTTATCTGATAAATCCATATAACAGGGCTATTAAAACTTGTATCCCATATAAACGATAATAGATACTAAATTGCAACATGATGATATTGTTTAGAATATAGAAAGGATTTTTTCTTATCAATAAATGTATAAAGAGAAACGATAAAGTTTTGACAACAATTAACAGGGAAACATCGACAGGAAAATCAAATTTCAGTCTATCAAGTAGAATAATATTATATTGTCTTGACTGCCATTATTAAATTGTAAGACATTTTATCTCCATTATTATCAACTAGTGTCACTTCTGGAACTTGTAAAATGAAAATGAAATGATAGTATGATGGTTATTTTGAGCTTCTAATGCGGATAAATATATAGTGAGTGAAAGGTTTCCCGACTATTTAACGTTTCTCCATTTTTTAACACTTGTCATTTGTCAACTTTATACTTGAAAATCCCGCCCTCTCGATTTCATTTATCATGACTTTGACTTGTTCAATATAATGATTGCTATCGATAATGTTATATAATATATTATTGTTAGTAGATCTAAATAAGTAGGCGATGATTTGACTATATTAATCATATATACGTATTAATGCATCGTTCCGGTTTAATGTTTCATTCTAACTACTCATACAATATTAATTTTGTCATGCTGAAACAGACAAAACTACGAAAGACAACACCCGCAGAGAAACTAAAATCATCGATAGACGGAAGGGTAATCTAGGCTATGATTTATTAATAACAAGCTAATTCTATATGAATGTACACGAATATTCTAATCATACAGGACAATAGTTGCTATTAAACGATTGCTCTTTATACATGTATCGTGACTTATAATAGGAAGACAGGCTGGCATGGGGGTTATTACAAGATACGAATCCGGTTTTACTACAATGCTATAGAATAATGGAATTGTGTTTTTATATGAACTCCCTTGTTGTGACATTATCTACCTGTGCGCCATTCAAAATTCAATAATTGAATGGTCTATATATATATATATATATATATACATACACTATTCATAAAAAACAGGTGATTGAAAGTAAGAAAAAATCAATATATTCATAATGGGAAATTTATTTTATAAATTTTTATTGGTTCAACGTCACTTTTAAAATCCCACACATTAATAATTTACGTATGGTCAACTTATCATCGATAAGAATTATTATAAAATATATGATTAAATGATAATAGATATAGACCTATTATAAACATCCTATACATCGAATAAAGCTTTATTTGTTGACGTCATCAAAGAGGGGCATAACAGATGATAAGTCATACTAGAACTTGTCGATATGTTTGTATATCAGACTTTATAGAACACATTTTATTATTTTCAGCTTTCTTGCGACACATGTTAGGAGAACTGAGCGATCCCCTTGCTCCTCAAGCTGTTGAGAATATCTACAATAAGTGAATTTAAAAAAAAAACAACAAACAACCGTTTTCCAAGCAGAAGGGTTACATAGAGTTCATTTAAAGACACAATGAAATTGTTATTAGTGATACTGCTTACATCTATAACTACTGCATGTAAGTATTAATTATTTAAATTATAATGTGAAAAAAAAGTATTAGCAAGCGCAATATTAATTGCGGTCCTAAGATTGAGGATGAAATTGCAAATGTTTATATAATGTCATTAACATTTTAAATAATTGTTATTAACTTACATTTAATCTGTGTGTATTATCTTCTATATATATATTTGTGACTGTCGTTTGTCTGTCTGTCTGTCTTTCTGTCTGTCTGTCTGTCTGTTCGGGGTTGGCAGCTACACTAGGTCTGCCCCGACTATGAAATTTGGGGTATAGGGGTAGCTCGGACCGGGGAGTAACATAGGCCAGGTGACGTTAGTCTACCACTTCCGGTTTTGGAGTTATGAACCCCGAGCGAAACCGGGTATCCTGCTAGTAGTATTATATAGCCAATACAACCTTCTACTACTTTCTGTTTCCTAAAATTCCTATATCATACACTGTTTCTTAATTTGGCAAGCAAATGTTCTTCATTTACAATAATCTAAGCAACGATATTATTAATCGAGATAGTTGGTTGCTTGTAATACGGGCTAATTATTCTGGCGTATATCAATGTGTATTGTAGCTTCTGGATATAATACTTAAAGGGACCATCGCGAGTCTCAGAAATAAAAGTCATTGTAAGTATGAAATTTAAGCGCCAAAAAATAGAGGAATGGTGCATTTACCTTGTCTTAAAATTTCAGCTAAAAACATTGAGTCGTTTGGACGTGAACGTCAAAACCGCTTATCCCGCCCGACACGTAACCCTTTTTAAGATTTCGGGTAAATTTTTTGTTGGGTGACCTAATAATTGATACCCGTTCCTTTAGAGGTCTACACTCTGCATGACCCACGTGTTGTACTTGATATTGAAAGGTAAATTTCGTCTACACGTTATTTTTATAAAATAAATGCCTGGTTATATACAGACGCCGTATAATATTGGGACATCGGTCTCCATTTCCAGAAGCTGTCTGAAAAACGTGTCACATATATTGAGTTAGTTGTTTGGCCCTAAGGTCGAGGATTTTAAGAGGTTTTAACACAAAATTAAGCAGTTTTATTCTCAAAAATATAATTTAGATTGACCCTTTAAATAGCTTTTCTCTATATAGTAGAATTTATAAATTACTTTCGATAAAATATGTTTAATCTAAATTAACACAGAGCCAGCATCATATTGGTCAAAAATTCAACAAAGCTACATTACAAGATGTTGTTCTTTAACTCAAATTATACTTAACATGAGCTCTGTTCTTTTATGAGATATAAATATTAGTGCGTCCCTTCTGTGTGTTTTGATGAGAACTATCACCAAACAATGACATAATGTTTTTTTACTTGGGTCAAAAATATAATTGTCAATTTAATGTTAATAGTTTGGTATTTGGGATAAAAGTCTATCTTCAATGAAAATATTACGTCTACAGATAAAGCTATTGTTAGTATATAATCGATTTTGTGTTCAAATGTGAACGCAGTAACCGAAAAATGAAACTAAAATTAGTAAACAAGATGGCATCCGGGTAATCGTTAAACACAAAATGGATAAAGGTTAAAGGGCCAATCCCGATAATATTTTGCAGAATAAAACTGGTTAATTTTGTGTTAAAATCACTTAAAATCCTCTACCTTAAGGCCGAGCAACTAACTCAATATATTTGATACGTTTTCAAACAACTTAAACCCGTCAGTCTTAATCTGGAAGTGGGGACCGGAGCCCAAAGCTGTATTATGCGATGTCTGGATAAAACCAGCCTTTTATTTTATAAAAATAATGTGTAGGTGAAATTTACCATTCGTTATCAAGTACAGCACATGGGTCATCCACTTTATAAACCTCTAAAGAAAAGGGAATCGATTATCAGGTCACCCAACGAAAGAATTGACCCAAAATCTTAAAAGGGTTACGTGTCCCGATAAGCAGTTTTGACGTTCACGTCCAAATGACTCAATATTTTGAGCTGAAAATACACCATTTCTTTATATTTTGGCGCTTAACTTTCATACGTACTCGGACTTTTAATTTTGAGACTCTGTTCAATTCGGGATAGTCCCTTTAATCAACGCAATCAAGCCAATTCAATTCTTTATTTTTACCTAAATCACAGAGGTTTAGCTACTTTAAAATATCACGAGTGTCCTCGGGGTTTCATGCTCGTTTGCTCATTGTAGAATGTACCTTGATTTTAATCAGATATACTCTTTCTCAGGCAATGTATATGCACACACTTTCCTAAAGGTTGAAGGTTTACTAAATTCATAGATTTTGGAGCTAAATACACTAAGGCAACATAATTTTGATTTATTAGGTTTGTTATTTCTGAGCCCCCTATGTCCTTTCCGTGTCTACGATTGTAACCAATCAGGACAACAAGGCGGTGGGGGCATTCGGTCAAAAAACAGATACAGATACACCGGTGCTATGAGTTGAAAAATTCAAATAACGATCGTTTAGAATATCTTTATTAGATTTATGCTTAACTTACTTTGGACAATGTTTTTCACAATTATGATCAGACGAATTAGCTAAAAATGTCAAAAATTGTACTATGTTAATAAAGTTATCTTAATAGCACGTGGAAATATCTCATGGTTAACTATACTGAAATCACAGATCTGTTTAATGGACGATGTGACACAGGATGTCATTAAGTCTATGCGACAGTTACTAGAGTGAGAGAGAGAGAGAGAGGGGGAGAGATAGAGAGGGAGTCTTTGCGACACTTACTAGAGAGAGAGAGAGAGTCTATGCGACAGTTACTAGAGAGAGAGAGAGAGAGAGAGAGGGAGAGATGGGGTTTAATGTCCACTCGTCAAAAACTAGATCGGGACTAACATATGGTTCAATTTTATTTCAATAATTCGCTTGCGCGTAGGCGTCTTTAGCAGTTGGATCAAACCGGAGGACGCGGAGAAAACCCACGAGGTTGGACAGGCGATCCTACCCCTTGTCACGTGCTAACCATTCGGCCATCCACCCCCCACCCCCCGAGAGAGAAAGAGAGAGAGAGAGAGTTTAATGTCCACTCGACACAAACAAGGTCATTTCGGGACTAACATATGGTTCAATTTTATTTCAATAATTAGCTTGTGCGTAGGGGTCTTTAGCAGTGGGAGGAAACGAGATTGGGCAGGCGACCCTACTCCTTGTCACGTACAACAGGGGAATTGAAACCACGCCAGTTGACTCAATGACAGAGTTTATGATACAGCTCGCACGCGCTAACCATTGGGCCATCCCCCCCCCCCCCGCGACAGTTACGACGTCAAAAGGGTCTCTTCTGCTCGTCTTAGGCTCATAATGTGTTAAAGCCTTTTTCTTTATTTATCTCTAGCATACATAGAGTGCGATTTTTTTGGCAAATGAAATGAAGCGTGTGATAGGATAAATTATATTAAAATTTTAAACAATAAAATTATAAATAGTATTAGGGTTGTACCAGGATATAGAGGAAATGATTCACTCTAGAATTTTATATAATAGTGTATTCAAGATAATCCCACACTCACCTAATTATCAAAATATCAAGAAATTGCCTACTCAAGGTATGACATTCGTTACACCCCTTAAATAGAGAGAAATGGGATTTAACGCCCACTCGACACAACCTAGGTCATTTCGGCTAACATATGGTTCAATTTTATTTCACAAATTCGCCTGCATATATAGCGATCTTTCGCAGTGGGAGAAAACCGGAGTAAACCCACCAGGTTGGATAAGTTACCTTACTCCTTGTCACGTACACGCACAAGCTCCATGGGAATCGAAACGACAGATCTTAGACCATTCGGCCAGCCAACCCCAGACCCCTTACACACAAACAAATTTATACTAATTTCTAGCCGATTTGTCTCAAATTTTGCATACTATTTGGCCGATTTGAATATCTCTATTATAACTTACATCAAATTTAGTCAAATTGAAATTATTATTTTACTAACCGTTGCAGACATCTATATAGTGGTAATGAAAATAAAAGCTTAAAAAGTTTATATTTGAAGAGAAAATAGTTTCTGAATGATTCCATTAGTCGATAATTTACTGCTTTTTTTAATGCCGACTCGTTCGATAGTTAGGTATTCAACTGTGATTTCCTGTAATAAAAACTAAACACATTGATCAAACTTAATTAAATCTAGACGAGATTGTCTTTCTTCTGGATGAACGAGTGCATCTCGGTGAGTATAACGCGTTGGTTCACTACCTAGGATTCTGAGGTTGGTCGAGAAAATTCCTTGGGGTTTTCCAACATGGTTCTATCCTGCCAGTGATGCAAGATGGGGGGGGGGGCTTAAAGAGGAAAAGCGTCTGGTTGTTCGAACTGGACTAAAAACCAAGGTCCTACTATGTGTACTCCTAAAGATCACATTTTTTATTTAGGGCTATTGACTAAACTCAGCTGGGTAGATCGCGTGTGGAATAAGTAATTAATTTAAAGAGCATGTGAATGACCGTATAGAGTGGCATGTACTTACAGTCAGTGTGATTATATACTTTACACTGATTTTATTCAAATCTGTTGATAATTAATTCAGACATGTTCACTCAATGTCACAAAAATAGACATGCCCGAAAACCGATTTTGCCAATTATATGAAACATTCTGAATTTTCCCCATACGAAACTTACGCTGTCTGTCAACAATTAGCTCCAACTGAGAACATACAATTAGTTCAAAGTATATATAAGTTGTTCTCTGTTCACAGAATGAATTTTCCAAACGCCAGTGACGTCACAGCGACTAAATGCTCATTAGGCGTGTGAATTTCTTTGTAACTATATGCATTTCCATTACACAAACTAGCCAGCGCGGATGTGTACTCTATGGTGGCTGATTGGTATTATGTCGTGATGTCGTGGTGGGGAGACACCACGACATTACGACATTTTAACACGATTTTCACTGGATTTGAATCCGATCTGCAGCTCAAAGCTCATTGATGATTAAACCCAAAAATGGATAATCGAGACTATGTTTTTTTATAGTATCTCGGTTCAGAGTGGAGCAATTTGCCTGGAATTTTCAACATATTCTATTTACGTTATCTATTTTTTAACTATTATAGTGAGAACAACCAACTCTTTATCTAATCTCTCATAATGCCCCTTTAATCTCACTGCGTAATAAAATAAAACTACGGAATAATTCATTTTTAATAAATCACCAAGGCAAGGTAAAATATGATCTAATATGAACATTAAGAAAGTCACTATAAATAATACAAACAGAATATAAACATAAACAAAAAATATCGATCATTACACATTATACAAGAAAAATAAATCTATTATAAAAGATAGAACTGAGCATTTATATCGTTAAAAAATAAAATGTAAATTTCTACACTAAATAACCTATCTCAACCTAGAGTTGACCTATCTCAACCATATTCAGGGGCGGGTCCAGAATTTTCAGATGGGGAGGAGGGGCGTGCTGCCCCCACTTGGGAGTGAGAAACCCGGCTCTCGGTGGGCGGACTGATGGGCAATCAACCAAGTCACCAACCGGCTCGTTTCGGAGTAAATTACGACTGGGATCACTACCATTTTTAAGTATTTTTGTTCTCCTTTCCGGTGAGAATATATGGGGCAAAAAATGGGGGGGGGGGGCGTGCGCCATGTGTGCCCCCCCGCCCCAACCTGGATCCGCGCCTGATATTTATTGTACTAATTAAAGATGGATCTTAGATAAGTAAAGTTTTATATATATGTTTAAAGTAAAATGATCAATCAGGTGGGCAGAACGGTCCTGAAAAAATCTAATTAATATTATCAGCATGACTAGTAATGACTCGATACAAGATCTTCAACATTATTTTATTTTGATCTTTTTACATTAAACGTAATATAATCAATAATGTTAATACAGGTTCTTTCTTACTTCTTTCAATACAGAACTATTGTGAAATACGTGCGTACACGTGTGCAATATTTTTTTAAAACACCCATTGTCGTTTGATTGACAAGGAAATCTATGTATTTTTTATTTTGACCACTTGCCATTGATCAACAAGGAAGACGTTATTGTTATCTTGTTCTTGATACGTACACCTGTGTTATTTACCTACCTATACTTTAAATACAATAATTAGTGTACAATAATAGTGTACAATAATTACTAATATAAAGTTATACTATCTCTCTAGTCTCCAGAAATGACCTAGTTCTGTTTTATTTTATTCGCCCCCCCCCCCCCCCTACCCTCGTACCGAAATACTTTGTACGTAAATTTGATATTGTTACAATAACAATGTCTTGGATTGTTAGTACGTTGGTCCTTCACGGGGGACCATCTCACAGGAGGTATTTGTTAACGTTTACATTTATTTGGTCATTGTAATAATAAACCAAGAGCTATTTTGTCAAAACAAACATATTGTCAACTGAACTACTTCCAAGGCAAAGTAACCGAATCGGGTGACATAAGCCCGTCTGTAAAGGAGTTAAACCTCTATGCCTTAGGTCAGAAATGAAATGAAATGAAATGGGGTTTAACGTCCTACTGTTCTGCTCCTAACCTGGGCTATGAGGGAAATTTTGCCCGGGCAGCGGCACTATCGCCTACTCTTATATCGAATTCCAACTGCCACGGGATCTTTTACGTGCACGCCAATGTGTACACTAGACAGCTGTCCTTGTCAGGCCCTCCGTCCTGCATCATTGACAAGGGGAAACCACGCCGGGAAATCGGGATGAACTTTCTCGGCCAATGCAGGGATCGAACACCAACCTCCAGGCTAGCGAGCCAGCGTCTTACCCACTTAGCCACGTGATCCCCTCTTTAGGTCAGACTAAACTCTGGCGTGTTATATGATTAGTGCCGAGACAAAATCTATACGATTAAATTTTCGTGTGTCAGCCAATGAGGCCTGTCATATAAATAACCACTGTAAGGATCACACATTATTAACATGGTTTGTTAAATGCAGGGGTGTTAGATGGCCGAATGGTTAGTGCGTGCGCGTTGTATCATTGAGTCAACTGGCGTGGTTTCGATTCCCCGGTTGTACGTGACAAGGAGTAGGGTCGCCTGTCCAACCTCGTGGGTTTCCCCCGGGTCCCCCGGTTTTCTCCCATTGCTAAAACTCTCTACACACAAGCGAATTAAAATTTAAACCATATGCTCCGAAATGACCTAGTTTGGGTCGTGTGGACGTTAATCTCTCTCTCTCGCTCTCTCTCGCTCTCTCTCCTCTCTCGCTTGATTGGCCGAGAAAGTTCATCCAGATTTTCCGGCGTGGGTTCCCCTTGTCAGTGATGCAGGACGGAGGGTATACATTGGAATGCACGTAAAAGATCCCTTGGCAGTTGGAATTCGATAGGCGATAGTGCCGCTGCCGGGGCAAAATTTCCCTCATAGCACACTGTATGGCGCATGCCCGTCTTCATTAGCAAAGGTTAGGAGCAGAACAGTAGGACGTTAAACTCCATTTCATTTCATTTCTCTCTCTCTTGTTTAAATTCATATGTAATCAATAGGTCTGCCAGAGTATCAAAGTATTTAATAGAGATAATTACAAAGATTATATGTAATCAATATGCCCTACCATAGTATCAAACTATTTTGATAGATAATTACAAAGATTACATATGTAATCAATAGACCCTACCATAGTATCAACTGGTTTTAAAAGTAAATGATAACAACGATTATACATGTAATCAATGGGCCTTACCATAGTATTAAATAATTTTAATACTAGATTATAACATTGATTACATATGCAACCAATATACCCTACCATTTTGATAAAAATACCGATTACATATGTAATCAAATAGGCCCTAACATCAATGATGATTAAAAGTAGATAATAACAACGATAACAAACGAATTACAAAAATATAATACGTAAACAACCACGAGTGATAAAAAAGTATGATTACGCCTGATAATTATTTTTGTTTATATATATAGAAAGCCGATTTTGTATAATTTCGATAACAGACAAATTATATAGTTATAACGTTTATCATCGATTTTTTGTAACTCTAATATTTGTTCAATACAGCGACAAACAAGATTACGTGTTAACTGACACTTTATCTGAAATTGAAAAAAGCAGAATAAATATGTGTAGGTTAAATTGGCTAAAAATGTAATTTGTTCATCTATATTTGTTTACTATATACATAAAATAATAGTTTTGTAAAAGTAAGTTCTTTGCGGAGACATGATGACATAAAGAAATGAGATGAAATCCAATCGACTGCCCACTTTACTGCACTTTCTATATTCTAATTTCAGTCAAATATTGATCAGCAATTATGAATAATATATTTTGTATATGAGTATATTTCTCTGGTATTAAACAGGGCCCGTGAGAGGAGGCGGGTGTGGGGTGGGGAGCAGCTGGGACATTTGTGCAGAGACCCGGAGCCTAGAGATTTTAAACCCCGCATATTATTTCTTTAAACCACAGACTTAAAAACAGGGCAGATTTGTTCTACTCTTAACATTGCATCTTTCGAAAACCTTTTTAAACCATCTGCATTTTCTAACTTATAAGTTGCCAATAAGTGACTCATAAGATAGCCGCGTCAGGCACAGTGCTTGACGCTCTGTGCTGATGAATCCGTTTAATATATTGTGGACTTATTTGAGGTTTTTTTTCTGGTCATTATATCATACTTCCAGATATTATGACTGTGTTTATGTGCTGCGTGTACAGCCCCCGTCGTAATTAGTACCATATGAAACCCACTAATCTTCAGTTTAGAGGATGTATTCCCATTTTCAGAACTGGGGAATTGTTCTGCTCCGACTGAGCCAATGAAGACGGACATACGCCACACATTGTGCTATGAGGGAAATTTTGCCCAGACAGCGGCATTACGGCCTACTCTTTTTTCGAATGTGTACACGGGACGGCCTGCAATACTGACAAGGGGAAACCACGCTGGAAAAAAAAACCGATGAACTTTCTCGATCAACACAGAGATCGAACACGGGTCCTCCAGGTTAGCGAGCCAACGTCTTACTCATTGAGCCACCGCGGCTCCCCATTCCGGATGCACCCAAATATTAGAACAAATATGGTACATATTCGAATGAGTTCAGCAGAACTAGTTCAAATTTATTTAGTAAATTTTATTTACGTTCTATTTTTATTGATATAATTTTATTTATTTCTTTTTTCAGATTCAATACCAAATCTTACAAACAATCGTGATAAAGAACTTAAAGATGTGAACGATCGTAAAGTGGATATAATTAAACGATTAATACGAGCTTTATCAATCCCGAAAAAAGATATAATTAAAGTTGAGGAGCTGGACGAAGAGGCTTCAATTCGTGAAAAAAGATGGAATCGACAAATGTTCGGATGCCAGTGTTCAGGATTCCGTGTTGGATGTAGAAGCACCAAATTTTGCAAATATAGACATGGGGAGGATTTTTACTGTGTTAAGGACTGTTGTGGCCTACAATGTACCCAAAAATACTAAAATAATGTTACAATAAATTCTGCTTGTTTGTTATTACACGATAAAGATCGGGGGCTTTATTATGATTTCATTGTGCTCATTCCAAACATAATCCGTGATATAATCCAGGGATAAGGATTAACTGTATATACGCTCTATAGATTTTTACTAACCGTGAATTATTTATTAGTTATGTATCCACTAGAGACTTCTATTCATCAAACAAATTCCGTATCTCAATTTTAGCGGGAAATGTATTTTGTAAACTAAGCGTTTTAGGCCACACATAAACTCTTAGAGATATTTACAAGAGGAAAAAAACACGTACAGCATGTATAACATAACGTCTGAAGTGGGATATTTATTCGACTTTTTGGAACCACGGTGGCTCAGTGAGTATGTCTCTGACTCACTAACTGCTTTACCCTTTTCAGTGGTGCACCGCGAAGAGCCTGACAAGGAACGGTGCCCAATCAGACGGATGGAAAGAAAAACCACGGTCCACCCCCGTGACGGTTGAAATTCAATGAGAAGTAAAAACAAATCCCACATAGCACATTGCAGGCGTATGTCCGACTTTATTTATTTTCATCTCAAGATTCCACTTCGGAGGTGTTATCTGCTTATTTATACGTATAGAAATTATGTCAGGTCAGACCGGCTTTGATCTTGGAAATTCGGTTAAATGTAATGCCTGTTTTCAATAGCTAAAAAAAATTTGATCAGAACTGCCTGCATACACCAAAAAATCCGTTTGCTTTCTTGCAACGTCTGTATAGTTTGTCTTATCCACAGGTTTGTCGTATAGCTTTTGTTATGTGTGTAGTGCGGTTCTCCTGTACTTACTACTACTATAAATAACAATTGGCCTTTTCTTTGAATCTAAATCAAAACGGTTCTGCACCTACAAGTGCTATTATAATAAGGAGTGTCACATTCCAAAAAACGGAAAAATAAATCTATTTATTATTTATATTATTACCTGTATGTGTCATCAGATTTAGTTCAATATTTTTTTTTATGTTTTATTGTTTAACTGAAGGATGTCCAGTACGGCCACACCAAATTGAACTTTTGTACTTCCTATTTTTTTTAAGAGAAATGGTACTCGTTTATCTTCTCAATAGCCTGTATTTTCTAATTTTTAAGTTTTTAAGTTTTGTTCACAGGACTGACGTGAATATTTGTTTATCAAGATTCGGAAGTACTAAAAATCAGTTTGGTTTGGCCTCTGCATAGACGCCAGTTAGCCCTTTAGATCAAAAGGTCTGTAACTTAGTCAAATGATGTGGTTTCGAGGATCGCCTGACTAACTTCGTGAGTTTTCTGCAGGTTCTTCGGTTTCTTGCCACCGCCGAATATCCAACAAGATATAGCAAATTATTAAAGTAAGGGTATGCCATCCCGTATGTCTAGTATGACATAACATAGATCAGGAGTGTCCTGTTTCAGTAAATAGCTTTTGTTATGGCATGATTGTTATTGATAGTTTCCTCGTCGGCAACACGTCGCCCTTACGAATAGAGATACATAAAACATTCTGATTTCCGTTCAGTAAATGGTCCCCTATCAGCTTAGTCCCCCGGTAGTCCTTATTTGATAATCGAAGCAACGATAAGAAATGAAATTGGGTTTAACGTCCAACTGTTCTGCTCTGAACTGGGCGGAACAATCAGTAGGCCCAGACCAGCCCATGGTCGTAATATGGCGAGCATTCGATTCTAGTGATCGGTTATACCTCTGGAAGTAACTGGAAAAATAAACGTCGGAAACTATTTATTATCAAGTATCGCCGAATAAAAGTGAAGTTAAACTTAAAGTCACGCTCCAGGACAAAAGAAATGATTAAAGAACTTTGACTGCAACCAACCACTGAAACATTTTACTTTATATTTTAGTTCAACATCAATTGACACTAAGGGTGTGAAATTTTAACAGGATCAGGGTCTACAAACTAAAGCTACACAAAACATTTTATTAAATGGACACCAATTTTGTTTCACATAATATATTTGACATGACTGGGGAATAAGAAACCAAAACATTAAGCGAATCGCGTGATGTTTGTTAATAAACAGACAATATAAAAATGGTATCTCTAATGAGCTGTAATTTTACGCAACCCCTGAGATTATTTTATACAATACTAATCAGAATACACGTAACAAAAAACTTATAATATTGTGTTAGTGTTAATTGTATATTCTTGCTGTAAAGGTTATTTACCACTATATGGCAACTGTCTACGGTCACGGAGGATGACCACAAATATCTTGTGCTTTTATTTGTGATAAATGTATTGACATCCATACTAACGACAGTGAAAGAGGGTATTCAAAAATACTGTGACAAAAAATACTCTCGTAGTGGTTTTAATCAAATGTGGATATTAAAAAATTCCAAAGAATTACTTGACGGTTTACAATCTAGATCACTTGCTTCAATCTCATCTATACAAACGTTTGACTTTTCTACTTTGTACACTAAAATTCGCCATAGTAAATTAAAAGCTCGGTTAAAAGACATTATTCACAGTGTCTTTTCATCTAAATCAAGAAATGTTAGATATCAATATTTAGGTGTTAATTACAATTCCACATATTTTGTCAAGAACCATAGTGATTCCAAAAATAAATTCACCGCCAACAAGATAATTCAGATGTTGGATTTTTTAATTGATAATATCTTTGTTGAATTTGGAGGGGAAATTTATCAGCAAGTGGTAGTTATCCCCATGGGCACCAACTGTGCACCTTTGCTTGCTGATTTGTTTCTCTATTCCTACGAAGTCGATTACATACAGGCACTTGTAAAATCAAATAAACGATTAGTCAGACATTTTAATTTCACTTATCGATATATCGATGATGTTCTATCACTGAATAATCCAAAATTTAGTGATTATGTTGAATTCATATATCCTGATGAGCTCGAAATTAAAAACACTACTGACGGTGACAATTACGCTTCCTACTTGGATTTGCGTCTCGATTTTGACAATTGCCATAAACTTAGTGTTAAATTGTACGATAAACGTGATGACTTTGACTTTCCGATTGTTAACTTTCCATTTATTAGTAGTAACATTCCAATATCACCAGCTTATGGAGTGTTTGTGTCTCAACTAATTCGTTACGCGAGAGCTTGTTCATTTTATTCTGATTTTTTAAGTAGATCGAGGCATTTGTCATCTAAGCTTCAACTACAGGGATACTTACGAACAAAACTTATTAAAACCTTTAAAAAGTTTTTTTGGCCGTCATATTGACTTGATTGGTAAATATAACATGTCTCTCTCGGCTATTATTCTAGATATATTTAATTGACGCGTATACTATCCCTGATAATGTCTGTCTACTACATCGTTAACACTGTTCATCACGTACATTTTGCATACCGATAGTCCATTGGCCAATCACGCTATTTTACTGAGATTTCGCCTAATAGTTTGGATGCAGCTATGGCGGGTATGGCGCCAGGCAGGGTAAGCTTACTCTTCCGGACACCTGTTACCACTGTATGTCGTGTATTTTGTACACGGTGAACAGTCCATATCCTGATTACACTATTTTGCCTATACAGTTTTTTTAGGACTTTGAATTTTGTCTAATGGTTTGGATTGTTCGTACTTGGTTTTATTTTATTTATAAACTATTCTGTCTTTTGCTTCTTAGCAAAGTTAGTATGAACGTGTAAATGGGCTTTATGAGATGACAGTGGCTCAGTGATAAAGACGTTGGTTCGCTAACCTGGGGGTCCCGTGTTCGTTGTTGGCCAAGAAAGTTCATCTGGATTCTCCTGCTTGGTTTCCCCTACACTATCAATGGTGTATACAGCGTATAGTCGATCAGAAGGGACGAAAAACCGAGGACACATTGGCGTGCACGCAAAAGAATCTTTGACAGTTGGCATTCGATATAAGAGTAGCCCGTAGTAACGGTCTCCGGGAAAAATCGTTCCCCATAGCACACTGCATGCATGGCGTATGCCCGTCTTCATGTTAAACCCCATTTCATTTTGTGGATGGGCTTTATATGAATATTTTATTGAGATGAAAACATATTTAGCTTTTTCTTCATCCCGTTAAAATTTGAGATATTGCAACAGAAACGGTGGTTAAATAACCTTACTACAAATGATTTCCAGATGACGCGATGCCTGTTTCTGCTTAATTTCCATACATAACATTTATTTAAAATCTACCAAATGGATGGGGCTTGTTTTATTCGGTACCAGTTCAGGTTGACTTGCATACTTTTACGTTTCTTTTCATTTTATAAACAGGAATTCAAATTCATTCGTTGTATTTATTATAGTGGGAAATCATCTATAATCGGATTTCAAATGTAACCACAATCTGGTCGGTGGCGAGGTTTCTTCAGGTTCAAAATGGTGGCAACAACAGAATTACGATTTGCAAGGGTAATCTGGATTTGAATCTGCAGTAAGATTGTTGTACGAATATTAAACAATCATTTGATACTGGCAACAAAGCCTCGGCCATCACGAAATCAGCAACATGTCACAAGTCCCGGCAAAATGAAATGAAATGGAGGTTAATGACTCACTGTTCTGCTCCGACTGGGTTAATGAAGACGAATATAGAATCGTGATGATATTGTGCCTGTTCTGAATTTCGAGATCAGATATACGGGTGCTTTAGATGGTTTGGACGTGAATTTCATAAGCCTAAAGTCCGTACGTCTTCATCAGCCCAGTATAGGAGCAGAACAGTAGGACGTTAAACCCCATTTCATTTCATTTCCGTACGTAATAAGATGACCGATTTTCAAAATCTGCGTAATTGTGGAATCGGGTTACATAAAATGGTTTAATGACGAATGCACAGTGATCTTATTGATTATGGCAGGGGAGTTAACTGTGGCCACGTTGTACATGAAATAAGACAAGTAATATTCTCTCCCCATTGAATTCAATGCTTTATCCATGACAATTCTTGACCAATAAAATTTATCTTTATAACCATGACAAACAGCACTATATCACAGCCCACTTTTGTTGATTTGTTGGTCTAGAATGGACGAAGAGGGTTTGAATTAACAGGTTTTGGTAAATATTCATGACTTTGAGGCGGAAGGATAACGGGGTTATCAGGTTGGCTACGGCGATATGTACGGCAACTAGTTACATGTTTTTAGTATCCTTCTTCAAGTTTGTGTATCTCAAAATTTTGGTGGTCAACCTCATACAAATTTTAATGCAAAGACATGACCATTTGTTCCTCTGTCTGTAGTGAAAAGCATTCAGCCCAACGAAAACTTGGGGAAAAGTCGAAGGTGGGCAAAGAGGCCAGAATTAACATTGAAGTCAATGGGGGAATTAATGGTGGTCTGCCTCCATTAGTTATTACCAATAAAAATTTACAATTTCTTACCCACCTATTCAATGCAAATTTACATAAAAACTACCCAATAATTTAGGATAGATCATTTTTGGAATAAATGATTTCACTTCACCTTTAAGTGCTATACCGAATATAGAAGCAGCAACTCCCTTTTCTTACAGACTAGATATCATACACCAACTTGGAAATTGAATAACTTTTGTAATTTTAGAATAAATTGATTTTTGAAAAGCTCCCAACAACCCAATAAATATTGCATGTCAAAGGTAATAATATCTGATTTGCAGTTTTACGTCATTTTCTCTACAGCGACTTGATTGAGTGAGTTATTTTTGAAAGCTATAAAAGTTACAAGAATACTGAAAACCCTACTTCACAATAACCAGATATTATATAGATTGATATTTTGGGGATTTGTCTACAAAATGGGAAGCGGTGAGTTATTCATTATGCCTATAACCCTCCAAAATGTCTCTAATTAAGAGTGAACATTTTAACATTTACTGAATCTTGTTTCCTGGCGGAAGGGATATGAGATTTTAAACTTTCATTTTTCTTATTAGATGCATGGATATTTAGCACCCATCATTTTCAATATAGCAAGATATAC